CTTCAGGTATGCCAGTTTTTATTCCCCGGCCAAAGGTCGGATACTTTTCTCACAGGCCTCGTATCTTGTCTGAATGTAAGTTTTCTATTTTCCTTTAATTAATTACTTGCAAAATCATGTGCTTTATTTATTTAAGACTATAAAAGAAATAATATTTTCATAACTTTTAAATTATTGTAACATTATAATGCAATAGAAATGTGAAGATACTAAGGCAAATGCACATTTAAACTTACCATCAAAGATGACTATTGCATTGGATACTCTTGAAACACACACACTGGGTCTTTTACATAACTCTAAAGGTGCCTGTAATACCACTTTTTCAGAGGAGTAGATGACAATAATATATCAATACTCTGTTTTAAGCATGCAACATTGGTACTACACTGCACTTCCAGTCTGTGGTGACCATACTCTTTATTTAAGTAAAATATCATGAAAAATGCTACTTCTAACAGCTGTTCATTTTACAAGCATAGGCTAGATAACCAATAATTAGCTTCTCCTTTTTTGTTGTTGTTGTTACAAAGCTACACAGTTGGTAATCTGTAATGTACCAAACACGGATATCAGAACCTGGTTGTTAGCATTATAAATTCTCAGACTTGCAGCTAAGCCACCTAGGGACATCATTTGATTTTCAGACCACATGACAGAATATCATATGTGTAATTGGCATAACACTGAAGAGGGTAATTAGCATTATTTTTATAGCAGTAGTTTTGTCTATTCATAGCTAAAATATTATAACTTTCAATTATCCTTTAGTTGCTTTGTACAATTTACATAACTATACACAGATTTTCAACCTCAACAATACTATCAATAATATTTTATTATCTTTGCATCGTAACCATCACATACTGCATATATTGCTTAACCTAACCTATTTAATTTGAGGTATTGTTTAAGCTAACATTTCAATAACAGTCATTTGTGCATGCAATATTGCCTGATGTGAGCTTAAGGTTAAAATGTTACACAATGTTCTTTATTTGAGTAAAGTAAGCAGTTAAGTGTGTGTGTGTGTGTGTGTGTGTGTGTATGATTATTTTGTCTAACATGATGGAACTTCCAATACAGCTACATACCTCAAATATGAGGTTGAATAATGGTTAAATATAACCTGTACCACCACTATTTTACACTTTAGGTATATTAAGTAGTTACCTTATGATATACATCTTATTTAAAGTATACTCTGTTCCAGTCCAGTAACATACCTCTGATATGGCAAGTCGCATGATGACTACCCCTCGATCGATCACTTGTCCAAGCACACCTGGCTGAAGATGTTTCTTGCCAAGATCAACCCTTTTCCATAAGCTCTCATCATAACTAGAAAGTAAAAATAAAAATCAAGCACTTCTGTTACTAAACATAAAATCTAATAGCATTAGTGAAATCTAGTCAATGGCAAAATAACAAATTAAAGAAACATATACTTTTTATTGGAACTTGTGGAGAATGTAGATGTATCTGATGCAGATATTTCCAGTAAGAGTTGACATAATAAACTGTTTCTGGTGAACTAACATTTCTTTAACTTCTCTAAGATAGCATCAGAGTCATCACATCTATTCTTACATTTTGTACGAAGTACAAAATTAAACTTAAATTCATATCCTAAGTCCTGACAGCTGTGTAAATGTAATACTGACAAAGAATTATTATTGTTAAATGCCTGGTTTTAATATTTGTATTTCAGACATTCCCTACAGAGAGTTTTAAATGTCATGTGATGAGCATGTAGTTAAGTGACTAGAATGTTTTTGAGACTATGAGAAATTACTTGAATAATATACAACTTCCAGCTAAAGATGTAGTAGTAAGTTTCTGATTAATTACTCAGTCTCTATTGGTTAGTTCAATGCTGTAAATTTTAAGTTTCCAGTACTAAGGTACTAGAGATACTGGATACGTTAGTGATTAAGTGACTAGCATGTGACACTTATCTGTGACACTAGGCCTACTGGTTATTACTATGTGCTTTAAAGCAGTGGTTCTCAACGTGGGCCATATGGCCCCCCAGGGTGCACACCTTGTTTCTAAGGGGCCACGCATGAATGACGGAAAATTAGGGAGCCACAGTAAATTATGAGTGGGCCACCAAAACTTCACTGCCCAAATAAAATAATTCAAAATAATAAATAGATTCAAGCATGACAAACATTATTTCTGGATAAGCAGTGAAATAGATAACAAGTTTCCACAGCTCTGGGAGAATGAAAAGTTGTATTTTATCACTTTTCCCACATCTTATTCGGTTGAATCTGGTTTTAGTCGGGTGACTTATTTGGTATCAAAAACACATAATCGCTTTGATGTTGTGAAGAGAGGTGATCTTTGCTTATCACTGACTACACTGCAACCAGACATATCAAAACTTTCAAGTATTCATCGGGCCCAAGGGTCACACTGAATAAAATGTCAATGATTAACAGAATATTTTTTACTTGTATAAGTAAACAGTATGTTAGAAACAAAATATTTAAAAACAATACAATATTATACAAATAATATTATAAATATATTATAAATCAACAGTGTGGAAATAACATAACTTTTTTCCTAAGTAACAGCATCTACGAAGGGTGGGGGCCACAGAGATAAATCAAACTCAAAAGGGAGAAGGGAGCATGAGCAAAAAAAAAAAGTTGAGAAACACTGCTTTAAAGAATGTGAAATTTGTAGAACAATTAATTGAAGAAGTAAAACACTTTCCAGGACTGGATTTGGTACTATTTTTACCAGAAAGAACCCTCACATGATAAAAAAAAACTATTACAACATTTGCACCAACAGTGGAATTATTTTGGTGAAAATAAAATAGGAGTAAGATCAGACTTGGAGATGATGATGCATGCTTGAAGTGAGATTTCAAATTTGCTGGAAATAGTGGAATGTTAATCAAGAACAAAAAGCAAGAAGAAAGAGACAGGAAACTAAAGAAAAGATCTAGAAGAATGAGACAGAAAACTAAAGAAAAGATCTAGAAAAATAAGACAGAAAACTAAAAGAGAAAGACACAGGGATGGGAGTACATCAATGTAGCCAATCCTTAAAATGTAAGCTGGTAGACAGTTTATATGTTAACAGTTGCACTATAAATACAAAACCAAATATGCATGTATAACCTACAGAAACAAACATACTCTATACACAATGCTTGCAAAAATGATTTTAATTGTACAAAAAGGTGCAACATAAGTTTAAAAAATCACCCCCAAAAAAACAGGATGCACAAACAGTTCTGTTCCCATTTCCTTAAAACCCAAATTAAAATGTCTGTGGAAGTGAAGCCACTTGAAAATTAGGTTCAGATACAACTAGGACAGATAATAGAAAGCATTTCTTTACACAAAGAGTCATGAGTGTCTGAAACAAACTTGCTCAGCCATATTGATGAAGCTGAGTCACGGGGACCTTCCAGAAAACAGCTTCATGCAGGCCTCAACAAATATTTTCAGATCTACGAGCCAGCCCAAAAACTCAGAAGCCAGGTTTGCCTAACCTAACTTTACTATTCTTTGTACCGGGAAATGGGGACTACACTAGTGTCTCAATTATCTGTGCCTCTGTTATCCACCATCCTCAATTATGAGCAATTTTTTCTTTTCCCAAAATTTTCTCAAGATAATTGTGCCATTACAATTCTAGACAATAATTTGGATGTTTTGGAGAAATTGTTACTCAGAAATAAATTTTGGTTGCAAAAGTTCAGATGTTGCACGATATCTGGGGTTTTCATGTGCAGGACCTAGCATGCATTAAAATTGTAAGTATTTGTAGCTTGGTTAACTTTAGTTGATTAGTGATCAAAATACACAAAAACACACATTATAATTCCTCAAAGATTCCACTTAACTTCAGTTGTCATCTGTTGTTCTATGCTATACGGTGGGTGTCCTTTAACCACAGATACATGTTCAGATTGTGTTGGGGGTGTTGCCCAGTTACGCATTGTCATCTTCCCTACATATAATTGGTATCTTCAGTCTGTTTTAACAAAGGCTTTTTCATAATAATTCCCAAGCATAAATTTGTAGTAATTTTTTACTTATTTTTCACAGACATTGATAGGGTACAAATGCACTTCCATGTCAACAGCAGAAAAAATGCCAAAATTTAAGAGTTTTACATCTATGTTAGTGATTAAATACAACTAAAATGGGAACAAGCAATCAAAATAGGAAATATTATAGGAGAAAAAGTGGAATTGGTCTTGTGTAACTCACAAAATTTGGAGAAATTGAGCATGAACAACTGACTGACTGACCGACTGACACTTGGCTTTTATGATTATGATAACTTTTATAATTTTTCCTGATAATGTGATTAAACGACAGTAAAATGATTATAATTTAAAACAAGGAACTTAAATATATTGAAAATTTTTATTTAGATTAAACAATGGGCTAACTAGCGAGATACACTAGTGCCTTGATTATCTGCTGTTTCTGTTATCCGAGATTTTTTGTTTTCCTTGGACCAGCATGGATAATTGAGGCACCAGTATATATCTATTTACTTTCACAGCAACAAGTGCATGCTAATGACCACATGATATCAACAACCACTTGATAGTATTCCCTGAACTAACTGTCTTTGGTCCCATACAAGTCTAAACACGCACACTCATTGAGAGACAGAAAAAAAACAAAATGGTGTGAAATTAGCTGTGTTGTGCAACGCAACACTTCATTCCTAAAAAAATATGAAGTACTAAACCAGCTATCATAGAAATAAAGTTCAATTTATGACTCAAAGAACACAAAAATATTTCTGGACTTCCAAGAGTCCAGAACTGTTCTAGATACGAGTTCTATTTAACACAGCCCTATGCACGAATAAAATGGAAGAAAATATTAGGCACCACGATGAAATCTATTGTCGGCATTACGACGTGGTGCCCCGAACTTGTCAAGGCCTAGTTTAATGAAATTCTTGGATAAACAACCAAATGAGAAAGATGGGCCAAATGGCCTCCTCTCATTTGTAACCTTTCTTATAATCTTATTTCGCAGTCTTAATTCAGATCACAATTGAAGTTCTCCTTGGCTTTTTGAACTTCACTGACCTGGCTGATAACTCTCCAGCACTTAGTGAAGGTAACCCTGCTTGCTCAGTACTTCTCTTCCCAGAATTCTTACTTGCACTTATTGTCGTGGTTTTTGACAAACTGACAGTGGACTCCTCTGTAGAGATACTTTTCTCTTGTATGTTTCTGTCATTATTTTCCTGCACTTCAATCAGTATAACAGCCTTGTTTTCTGATGGGTTTCTTGCTGATTTTCATCAATTTCCTAGTTGCTGGAAATCTCACTTTTTAAGTGGTTGTCTGAATTTTCTTTTTTTTTTCTTTGCTTTTTCTTAGCTAAGCTCCCTTGATTGAACATGTAGGCACTGTGGCTTGGCATCTAAAAGGGTCTGATTACTTAGCTGTGTCAGAATAACTTATGGCCTACTTAAAGAATATCTTTAGTTGCACCATTTCCAACACAATATATTTTTTACAGATTTATCAATGATAACTGCATCATCTGTGCATTTCAAAAACTGGCAGAACAAAGTATTCATCACACAGCCATGCAGTAAATGATAATGTGGATATAAAATAGGGCAATAAAGTAAGGATTAACAGAAATAACGTGGCATATTACAAAACTACAAAAAATTGTTTTACATGGTTTATATGTATAGTAATACAAGAAACTTCCCTTTTAATTTTTCACCATTCTACCAAAATTCCTAAGACAAGAAATTGTCTATAGAGAAAAAACCTGAAGACATGACATACAGAAGAACTATAAACAAAACTAAATTTCTTCAGAAACAAGATCAAGGAAGCCATACGAAATGTACAAAGAGGCTCAAGTGAAGTAAAAATGGAAGAACAAAATTACATCCTTAATTTACAAATGAATTATAACAACAAAATTAATGAAGTACAAAAGAATGTCAAAGAAGTACAGGAGGATTATAATAGCAAAACAAAGAAGCCATAGAAAATGTACAGTAGGACATTAGTGTCAAGATAAAACATCTAAAAACTGAAATGGCAAATGCAAAAATCAAACTCATCCACTCAAGAACTCTAACCTGAAGAACCATTAACTCTCTCAACGTGGGCTCAATCAATTTCACCAACCACGTGACCTCTTTGTACTCGTTTCAAGTCTTTATAGATTTAATACTTCTAACTTTCAATATAGTGAGTAAATCTTCACAAAATTTGTCAGTCTTTCAGTTAACATTATAAGTCTTTCACATACAAAAAATCATACTTTTAGTGAAGTATTTTTTAATAAACTAAAATAAAGATTTGTCCATGAATATACTGAGTATTTGGTTTGAATAGTCAGTGTGAAAAGTAATTTTCATGTTACGATTAAAATACTTTTCTTAACCTCAGAAATCTCAAATTGTAACCACATCTATTTATAATTACATTTTAATTCTTATTGCCCTTTGAATCATGTCTAACTACTGTTCGTGCCATTATAAGTTGTAAATCACTTGGGGAATGTGCAGCTCACATTACACTATCCAATTACATTACCCACATTACCAAGCTGCTCATGTGTGTGTGCCTCCTGAAACATTTTTATTATATCATTATTATTATTCATTTTAACTAATCAAATCTTAACTAACCTAAAAATATCTCTATTTTTACATTTTAATTACCTTTATAATAATAAATAAAGAATAAACATAAAAAACGAGAAATGAAGTACTTACCCAATCTTCTTTTTTCTTGCTGTTGATTGTTGATGACAGTTAACTTTACTGTTTTATACTAATGATAGTAATGCACTAAATTTTTATTTAATTAAATAATGTACCAAAGAATAGACTAATAATATGCATAAAGTAGACAATTTACCCTAACTCTCAACACCTTTCTGGCTTTCTAACTACGCAACAAGAGCTGTTACAAATTCATCCAAGCTAGTCATTAACTTTCCCATGGAAATGAAGTTTGTACTCTGAGTGAAAACAATGTTACGCAACACATCATTTGACAGATGAAACCTTCACTTTCTATTGGTTATAGGTAATATTAAATTAAAACATTCACAACATCATGCACCACTGGTGGTACATATGCATGTTTTCTGTTGGACATTGTGAGCCACCCATGGTACACAGCACCCATAAGATATTTCATATTTCCAAAGTCCTGTATTAAGCATGTATTTTATACAAATGGCTATAATAAAGCCATGCCTTCCATCATGTATCACTGGTGGAGCACAGATGCCATGTTGAAATGAGAATTGATGATTAAATCATTTTTATTATAAAATTACATCTAGAGATTGACATTAAATTTTTCATTGTGAGTAACTGAAACAAAAAAACACTAATTGAGACTTCTTTCACAGATAAGAAAACTGTTATGAAGACTGTAATACAATAAGGATAGAACTATTATCATCCACAGTAGGAATTATTTTATCTAATGTCCCTTTTTTATGACCATAAAATTGTGAAATATTCATAATTCTTCTGAAAAATGGCAAGATTAAGATGAAAAAAAAAATGAAAAAATTTAATATTATGATCATTTGATTATTATAGTGTGCACCACCAGTGGCACATAACAGCCAAAGCGTAACTGGGTAAAGAAAGGACATGTACCCATCAGTGGTGCACTCAAGAGAAAGTTCACAGAGTTCACAATGCGGCCTTACGTTCCTACTGCATAATTGAGAAATCCCTTATGCTGCGAACATGTTTAATGTAAGAGAGAACTATCAACGAATTATGAAAGAGAGGATGTGACAAGTGGGTCTGGCAGGAGGGGTCTAATTTTCTATTCAATAGCTCTGTAACCAAACAAAATTGAAGACTATAAAAAATTATGGTTTGCTAAGTAATAACGATTTTATAGAGAGTATTTTACATTTAATTTTGTAGTTACTAGAGGGATGGTGGATAAAATAAAAGGAAGATACCTAAAGAAAATGTGTCACGTGTGTCACACTTGAGGAAATTCAGGATATTTTTTAAATATTGCATTATAAAATTAATAATTTAAAACTTAT